TGTATATACTGTATTCTATATATAGTACCAGTCAAATGTTTGGACACACGAATGGGAAAGTGTCCAAACTTTTGACTGGTACTGTACTATAATATACACAAAGAATATCGGCCGATATATCGATATCGGCCTTTTTACTCCCTAATATCGGTATCATATCGGCCCCAAAAAGCCCATATCGGTCGGACTCTAATCTGTACACAATTCCTGGAAGCTGAAAACATCCCAGTTCTTGCATGGCCAGCATACTCACCGGACATGTCACCCATTGAGCATGTTTGGGATGCTCTGGATCGGCGTATACGACAGCGTGTTCCAGTTCCTGCCAATATCCAGCAACTTCACACAGCCATTGAAGAGGAGTGGACCAATATTCCACAGGCCACAATCAACAACCTGATCAACTCTATGCGAAAGAGATGTGTTGCACTGTGTGAGGCAAATGGTGGTCACACCAAATACTGACTGGTTTTTGGACCCCCCCATACAGTAAAACTGCACATTTTAGAGTGGCCTTTTATTGTGGCCAGCCTAAGGCACACCAATAATCATGCTGTCTAATCAGCATCTTGATATGCCACACCTTTGAGGTGGATGGATTATCTCGGCAAAGGAGAAGTGCTCACTAACACAGATTTAGACAAATTTGTGAACAATATTTGAGAGAAATAGGCCTTTTGTGTACATAGAAAAAGTCTTAGATCTTTTAGTTCAGCTCATGACAAATGGGGGCAAAAACAAAAGCGTTTATAATTTTGTTCAGTGTAGATAGATAGATAGATAGATAGATAGATAGATAGATAGATGCACAGTGTCATTCACACAAATACTAAACATCATGGTAACACACATGATACTGAAATAGTGCAATAAATGTTATTTTAACAACATTAGATGTAAGATAAAACCCTAACGTACGCAACTGATAAGAACAAAAATAAGAAGAAACAGTTATTTCAGTAAAAAGAAAACATCAAATGTCATGCAGGGAATTCTGGGAATGTCAATTTACGATTTTTTCACTGTAAATTATACAATTACTATCTTTTTCACTTCCACAAACCGCAGCTTTAACAGTGTTTTACTGTAAAATTACATTAAATGTAATTATGCAGTTATTCACTGTATATAGTAAACTTACTGTTAACCAGGTTTTTACTGTAGCATTTTACAGTCTTTTACTGTTAAAATCACAATCATTTTTTACAGTTAGACAGTCAGACAGACAGATAGATAGATAGATAGATAGATAGATAGATAGGTAGATAGATAGATGAAACCGCATAATCCCCCTAGAGCCTTGCGCTCAGAAAATTATAAACTTCTGGTAGTGCCTACAGGACAAACTGTCATCAGAAAGGCGATCAAGCTTTTGCAGTAAAGGGGCCGAGACTGTGGAATAAGTTGCCTCTACATATTAAGTCTGCTAAATCTTTGTCAATGTTTTCGAATCTGCTGAAAGCTCATTTGATGGTGGCAGCCACAGTCGATCTTTACAGTATGTGGTATATGTGTGTGTATGTGGTACAGGCTGTAATATGTGTGGCATATGTCATTTTCTGACTTGCCAATATGTGTAAATGGATTTTCTTTACTTTTCTTTTTTTCTTAGCCTTTTATTGTAAAGCACTGTGGTTAACGCTGTTTTTTATTTTTTAGTAGTGCTATATAAATTAATAAACCAAACCAAACCATGATAGATAGATAGATAGATAGATAGATAGATAGATAGATAGATAGATAGATAGATAGATAGCTCATCAATAAATCATGTTGCATGTCTTTGACTGCAAATGAAGTGATTCCTGAGAGGCAGACGGCAGACTGCAGGAATGATGTGTTGGTACAGTACGAGATTAAAATGACAGATCAGAAGGCAGGAAAGGCCTGATAATCGCATATATAACTGATTAGATAGACTAAACAGCATATGCTTTTAAGAATATTCAGATTTTAAATAGCATTTCTGTTGCCAGAAATGTGATTTCTTAATTTCAGTATTCCGCTATTTCGTTATCCATTTGAACTCACCTTGAGAATTGTCAGAGGTTGTGCTAAAGTCGGGCACGACGCCTGATCTGTCCGCTTCATTATCAGACATCTGCGATTCTTTCATCTGTGTTTCAACAGAGCTGAGCTTCCTCCGAGCAAATGCGGCCATGTAGCTGGGATCAGACAGGGATGGGGTGGTGGGCTCCGTTGTTGGTGGTTTAATGGTGGCTGCTGGTGCGGCGACATTTATCGGTTTTCTGACGGACGCGATCGTGGGCGCTGGTGTTAATGCGACAGTACCGAGCCGGTACCCTGGAACCCCGTTCGCGCTCGTATTAGGATGCTCTTCGGCGATTGAAGGAGATTTCCTTATTACTAAAGGCAGCGCATCGTAGGAATGAACCGCCTCGGATAACCCCATGCACACAAACACGATGAATGGGAAAGCCGGGGATGTAAACATCATTAAGGCAAGCCACCACATGATAATAATCTCAACGCTCCATGAAAACCTCCACGAGACGGACTTCGCAAGGCCCCCGTCCTCCGATTTCCATCGGGTTATTCCAAACCAGGTGGTTTCCAAGCCGCCCCGATGTAGCCTACTCCACCATATCCGAGAGAGACCCCCTTTTTGTCAATGGCTCTGAACCGACTGCAAGGTGTTTGATCCGCACCGACCTGTAGTAGTAGCGAAGCACATTAGAGTGGCATACTCACTGGCCAATCAGAAAGCAGGACGAGACAACCGCTGTGGTGAGATGTGTGTTTTTTCTCTGCGCCTGACAGACGGTGAGGCGTCTGATTGGTTAAAATCAGGCGCATCGAAACCTCGCTGGCTGGTTCATGCAGTCAGGCGATCATTAAAATATTTTCATTTTATAGCCTATTGTTGAATCAACCGTGGATAAAAATAAGAAAACACGTTTCCAAATATTTAAGGACTTTCTAAACAACACTATCATGCTACTTCACTCTGCGTCTCTGTGAGCATTTATTCATGTAGCCTATTATTGCCATTATAGGCGATCTAAAGGTTGTCTAATCGGATTTTTTATATATATATATATATATATATATATATATATATATATATATATATATATGCTACACTGAACAACGACTAGTTTAATTGTTTTATTTTATTACATTTTGTTTGTTTGTTTGTTTGTTTGCTTGCTTGCTTTTTAATGTGTATTTGTTTATTCATTTATTTATTTATTTGTTTGTTGAGGTGGTATTTGCAGCTCTCTTGATATTATGCGGCATCAATTGCTGAGCACTGTCAGTATAGGTTATTATCATCAGCAGCACCATCTTCTGGTTGCGCAAAAGAGTGAGGAACATTTTTGCAGATGCCCTGTGCTGTGATTGTGATGCTTTCCTGAGCCATCAATATTAGCAAGATGGAGCAGTCCAATTGTTCTAATGGATTGTAAAATAGCTTTCAATAACAGATACCTCTTCAAATTACAGTAAGCCGTATAACTACCAATTTAATAATTGACTATGCTTATTTTTTTTCTTTTGCATATGTTCTAGCCTTATCAATTCAGCATTTGTGTATATATGTAATGAAAATGTTATAAATAAACTAAAATATATAAATAAATAAACTAGTGTGATGTATCTAAAATATGACAGAATGATAGAAATGCTTTTATATCCTAGACCTAGTTGCACTAAAAATATGCACACTTTTTAAAAAATGATTTTCAAGATGTTATAGTCCTACAACAGCCCTTTTTTATGGTTCACCTTTTCCTGCTGTTTTGAGACCTCATCAAGGTGAAGGCCAACATCCATATGGACATCTCATGGATGTGTGGACGAACACCTGGGGCTCGGGCAGTGAGCTGGGACAATGTACAGGTGGAGACGCATAATAATGATAACCAGAAATTGCTTTTGATATGGGTCTTCTAAATGTTGTAAATAAGAAAAAGGAAATGACAAAACAAAAGGAGATGTATTTACAGTACAGAAATATGCAAATATCTTAACATTGTTACAGAATGTGTTGTTAGGCTCATCTATTTACATTCTTTTCTCCCTTTAAATTTTAGACCAGTAACAAAACACAGACACTATTGAAATTCAATACATGTATGTAAAGCACTTACTATGGTACACTGATAGGTCTTCAAAATAGAGATTCTCCAAACAAGTTATGAATGTGTAGGAGTGTACTTTTGTCCTTGATTGAAATAACTTTTAATTGTTTTTAAATTATTTATAGCTCAAAAATACTTTCAGTTTTTTTTATCAGGTTGTGGTTATTATAATAAACAAATTAAAACAGTCCCAAATGGCACTGTAAATTATGCACATTGTTAACAGAAACTGTCGAAGGTCATTGCAGTTTCTCAGAATACTGATGTGTAACAGGCCTTGGCCAACAAGTGACAATATATGATGGCAAAAACAGTGCACTGTCGGTGGTGATTACACAACCCATAACAGAATCATTTAAAGGGCACGTACTCTGTGCAGACTGTGCATGGATGCAATCTTAAAGCGATAGTTCACCCAAAAATGAAAATTCTGTCAACTTTTACTCACCCTCAAGTTGTTCAAGTCAAGTCAAGTCAAGTTGAGCTTTATTGTCATTCTGCTACATGTGGGGACATACAGTGGAACGAAATGTCGTGCCTCACAGGACCACGGTGCTACATAAATACAGGCATACAACAATGGAAATAATAAACATTGTTACAGAATGTGTTGTTAGGCTCATCTATTTACATTCTTTTCTCCCTTTAAATTTTAGACCAGTAACAAAACACAGACACTATTGAAATTCAATACATGTATGTAAAGCACTTACTATGGTACACTGATAGGTCTTCAAAATAGAGATTCTCCAAACAAGTTATGAATGTGTAGGAGTGTACTTTTGTCCTTGATTGAAATAACTTTTAATTGTTTTTAAATTATTTATAGCTCAAAAATACTTTCAGTTTTTTTTATCAGGTTGTGGTTATTATAATAAACAAATTAAAACAGTCCCAAATGGCACTGTAAATTATGCACATTGTTAACAGAAACTGTCGAAGGTCATTGCAGTTTCTCAGAATACTGATGTGTAACAGGCCTTGGCCAACAAGTGACAATATATGATGGCAAAAACAGTGCACTGTCGGTGGTGATTACACAACCCATAACAGAATCATTTAAAGGGCACGTACTCTGTGCAGACTGTGCATGGATGCAATCTTAAAGCGATAGTTCACCCAAAAATGAAAATTCTGTCAACTTTTACTCAACTCACCCTCAAGTTGTTCAAGTCAAGTCAAGTTGAGCTTTATTGTCATTCTGCTACATGTGGGGACATACAGTGGAACGAAATCGTGCCTCACAGGACCACGGTGCTACATAAATACAAGCATACACCAATGAAGTAAAAGAGTAAAACCTATACACAAACAACCTACTGACTGATTTTGACTATAAATATACTATATTTATACATGTTTACCTATAAATAAATAAAAAAATACAGACTATACGGATGCTTCACATAATATTGTACATGTGCAAAGAAAAACATCGCAAGTCAAGCAGCTGGCTGCGGAACAGTGCAAGATGATTTGTAGTGCATGAGCATGTAAACACACATATTACGGAGTCTTTTGTGGGATTATGTACACAAAGCAGTGTGTGTGAAAGTGTCTAGTGCGCATAGAGGAGAGTGTGTTTCTACAGGTGTCTGGCGGAGCGGGCTCTGATGCTCCGGTACCGTCTTACTGATGGTTGGAGCTGGAAAAGACTGTGGGAGGGATGGGTGGGGTCCTTCACGATACTGTTGGCTTTGCTGGAGCATCGTGTAAGGAAAATGTCCATGATGGAGAGGAGAGGGGCACCAATGATCTTTGCAGCTGTGTTCACTGTCCGCTGGAGGGTCTTGCAGTCTGCTTCACTACAGTTCCCATACCAGACAGTGATGCAGCTGGTCAGCATGCTCTCAATGGTGCCCCTATAGAATGTGGTGAGGATGGGTGGGGGGAGACTTGCTCTTTTCAGCCGGCGGAGAAAGTGTAGGCGCTTGTCATTATCACCAAACCTGTATGAGTTTCTTTCTTCTGTTGAGCACAAAAGAAGACTGAATAATGTTGGTGACCAAATAGTAGATGGTAGCCACTGACTTCCATAGTAATGAAAAAAAAGATATTTTATGGAAGTTAATGGCAACCGTCAACTGTTTGGTTCAGGGTTGGAACAAGTGAAGGGTGAGTAAATGATGACAAAATTCTCTCTCTCTCTCTCTCTCTCTTCTCTCTCTCTCTCTTTTGGGTGAAATATCCCTCTAAACTGTCCAAAAAAAAAAAAAAAAAAAAACTTAAACCCTTATATCGAGAAAATGATTGTCATCTTTTATATTCCATCTTAATTATATTCCTATATTGTATTTATTACTGGTATATGCCTATCTGAGGTTTGTTTGAAATGCTTTTATTGTATCATTGTTTAGAAGAAGAGTCATTTCAACCTGAAAATCCATAAAGATACAGTTAGCTATTCCAGACAGTTTATATTTAAAGTGAGTTTGTATTCATTCTCCTATCTTCCATGTGTGGTAGGCTATCTTTTATGTAGGTAATTATAATGAACGCTTATGTTCAGATTTATATTTAGTAAGAAACAAAACAGCAAGCTATTATTCAGGAGTTGCTTTTATACAAAGTAATTTTTGCGAGAAAAAAAAAAAGTTCCTTCCACAATTAGAATAAGTGAAAGTAAATCTAATATAGCCTGCAATCAATAATTATTATTTTAATATATCATAAGTGTAAATACATTGATGTGACATTACAAACATATGAAAAATATGATGCGTCTAATATATCAATGCGGCACAGGAATACGATACTGTGACCCTTTGCGAGTATGACAGCTTTCGTGATTGACATGAAATCACGCGAACCCGTAGCCACGCCTACCTCCTGTGGTCGTCCAATCAGCGATGAGCACAATCGCCAAGTTGTTCCTGGAACGTCATCAGGAAACTGGTGACTGAAGATTACGTGGTGAAGTTAGTTAGCCAGCTGCTAGCCTCGACAAAACGACCACACACAGATGTAACGCCTGGAGAAATATTTGCATTAACCGTGATTTCCATTACAATGAACCTCAGTTCTGTCAGAGTGTATGGAGTTTTTACGGTAGGTTTACGCTTGTCTGTTTTGTTGGTTTAGTATAGGAGATGGACGAGAGCTAACATTGGCTAGCTCTGTTTACAATTGATCTGTTATTTATCTGGGCTTTTTATCGGCAGTTTTGGGGTAGATGTTGTCATGCGCTGTCGGCATGTGATCGATGAATGGTTCTGGCATCAAGCTTACGTGTCATAATCAAATCCGACTGGTTAGCTTACTACAATGTAGCATATCAAGCCAAGTAAACAGTCAGTCTTTTTGGCCGTTCAGTCTGTTCTAAAACATTGAAACGCATCAGATTTTAGTTTTATGAGTTAATATTAGTAATTAATTTGACTGTATCGCCCATGTCTTGCTTAAAAACAACTCATCTTGCTTTTAATAATCCTGCACTCGAGTATCAATAATGTAAGTGTAGTACTATTTTGATATGTCACCTCCACTAACTATATAAACAGGCACAGATGTACACTAGATAGTGATGTGTACTAAGCAGTTCACTCTTAGGATGCAGGTTGGCAGCACAGCACACTCATTTCATTCAGAAAGGCATATGCTGATTAAAAGCCTTGTTTGATTGTATCCTTCTGCTAATGTAATCCTAATTTTCTTCACAGGGTCAAGGCGGCAGAGAGTAACACCAGAATGAGATCTGCATATGCCATGGATATAAGCCGGTCTGCTTTCCGAGGACCCTAAAGTGTCTCATTGACGGTTGGAGAGACATTCAAATCATTGCTTCACACACACAGCTAAACGCAGCATCTAGACTACAGAGATGTTCGCAAAGTTGAAGAAGAAGCTGGCAGAGGAGGCCGCCACTGCCCCGCGCTCCGGCCGCATCCCTCGCTCCATGAGCAAGGAGTCCATCACGTCTGTGGGCGCAGATTCAGGCGATGACTTTGTGAGTAGACCTTTCTCTGCTTTTGTGTAATTCTCAGGATCCAGCTTCTTGCGATCTCATATCTTCATGCATCGTTTAGACCCATAAAGTTGCTTGGTCTGTTCGAAAAATTCTAGCTGGTGATTATAACCAGGAATACAGTAATCATTCTAGGATTTGATATGATAGAATATCTCGATCATAGTACAATGTTACTGCTTCCTTCATGTTCAGTGTGTACTTTTTCAATCGTTAATGTACTGAGTACTTTAATCTACACCAATTCTTCTTTAGTGCAATTCACTATCGTTCAAAAGTTTGGGGTTGGTAAGATTTTTGGCAAGATCAGGGATTCATTATTTGTTTAAAATGCAGTTAATTAAAATAACTTGTCTATTTTAATATGTTAAAATGTAATTTCATCCTGTGATGGCGAAGCTGAATATTCAGCATCCACTGTACTGTATATTCTTGGCTTCTTCAGAGTTTGGAGTTTGGTCAGAAAGAAATTATTTTGTTATATTTCTCTCAGGCTTTCACTGAATGGTGGCAAATCTTTTTACATTTTTTGTCAAAACAATCTTATTTAAAATGTTACTACAATATTGTCTTGTCATGAGAATATTAATGCAATATTGTAATCATTCAAATGATCCTTTTTCAACTCTAAAATAAGTTCTAACTAAACTAAAACCTTCCAAGTGCACTTTCACTTCTAGGTATCAGTAAAGTGCCAGTTGACACATTTTGATAAGCAGACATAGTAAATACGTTCCTATATCCTATCCATAGTAGTTATTCCTGTTTTCAAATGACTGGCATATTTTCAGTATCCCTTTTAGAGAAAGTTTTATATGACTCTGCACTGACTGTGTTTGCACAGTGCTGCACCTGAACAACCTGGTAGTCTGACGAAGTTTATTTCTAGAGTGCTGTGCTATGCTTCTCGGGAAGCCAGTGAAATCCAGAGAGTGCTAAATAATATCACATGCTTTGACAGACCAGTGTAACCTGACACTCTTGTCCTCTAGCAATTAATGGCAGACACACTCAGGGTTAGGTTCAGGTTGTCTTTCGCCCTAAATAATTAAAGCTGTAGGCTTTAATGGAGGATGAGAGAATCAGTTACAGGTCTAAATCAAAGCCACACTTATACTGTAGTTGTTTTGATGAGAGACTTTTAGGTACTCTTAGCAATATAAATAAACATCTCTCTTTTGCATTCTGTAGTTCTTATAAAGGATTTGCAATTATATGGGTCGTTTCTTTGATATTAGTGTTTTGTGTTTTTGGTGTATGTATTGGTATTGGTCAGTATTTTATATTTATTAAAGTTTTTACATTTAGGTAGTATTTGCTGTCATCTAATGCTCATAGTGAATATTTAAAACAAAGCAAATTTTAAAATGAATATCATTTTGTCTTACTGTACAATATTCTTGTTTCCTAAATTCACATTTATTTTAAAATGGTTAATTTTTTACCTTTTTTATTTAATTTTTGTTAAACAAAAAAAACGTATTTGAATTTACTTTGACTTAGTATTAATATTAGCTATTTATCAGTTAATGGCTATAACATTAAAATAGTTAATATTATAAATAATATCTAATCAGTAATTAGTATTAAATAATAGATAGTACTAATCAGTATTGGCCAGAATATTAATATTGATGCATTCCTAGTTTGTTCTATGGTATATTTTTACCTATGATTTATTTTTATATTCTTATGTCTCTTAGGCATCTGATGGCAGCAGCTCCAGAGATGATGTTTCTTCTCAGATTCAGCGCAGAAACGATCAGATACGAAAGCTGGAGGCCAAACTCTCAGGTATCGCCAACACAATACAGTGAAACTCATGTAAACACAACAAGAGAAAAAGACTGAAAGGAGGAAAAAGATACGAAAGGCCAAAGTGACTGCTTTGCAAAATGTCAGTGGAAAATCAATGAGAAAAGGAAAAGCTAGACTGGAGGCTGTTACGTGTATTTTTTTCTCACCTGCCACTCATACGGGCTGAATCTATTTCAGCCTGTATTTGGACACCTTTAAACCCTTTATACATTTTGCCACAATGGAAATGTATAAAGCACATGACATTTGACAGATTTGCCACAAAACGAGAAATGAATGCAAATGAGTCCACTGTAACGGCCTGGAAAAATTTGCATAAATAATAGATACCTGGCTCTCACTATCAGCCTGCCATGGTATCAATTACATGGCCTGATCTAGAAACTCCTTTAACCCTAAATGAGCAGTACTAGATAAGATTATTGCATAATTGACCTGATCAGGGATGATCTATTAGTTTAAAGGTCAAAGGTCAGTCATTGTTCAGCCAACATTGTTCTCATCTCAGAAAATCATTCTGTTTTTCCCTTCATTTGTTTATCTTCTCAATCATGTTTGTCCCTTTGTTCCCCCCCCCCTGTTTTTTCCCTCCTCCCACCCTCCCCGTGATCCTCCCCCCTCATCCTCCTCTGCCTCCCTCCGGGTGTGTTTTTGTGTGTGTTGGTATCCCATTCCCCAACCCTAGACTACGCTGAGCAGTTTCGGCTAATGCAGAAGACCAAGGAGAAGCTTGAGATTGCATTAGAGAAGTATCAGGATTGTACGTACCGTTCTTTTCCTCCCATTTCCGCCTCTTCCTTCTTTTGGCTTTCTCTCCTCTGTTTCCCATTTGTTTGTCCAATGCTTTTACACAAACCTCACGCAGATCAGACATACATTCTTACAGACAAATAATGTTGGTTCTTGATCAGAAAGCAAAAAATGAAGATTCACTTTTAATTGATTGTTTTATCACAAATGTCTTCAGGATTTAATATAAGTTAAGCTTGATTATCACTGAAAATTATTTCTCCCCCAGTTGAAGTTGTGAGTACTGTAAATAGAATCACTTTCTGGCCTTATCTTTGTTAATTAATGTCAGATGTTCATCTGCAGTATTCTCACTTCAAAAGAACAATTTACACTAATATTATTGTTGTTATTATTATTAATATTACAGCTAAATTCATAATTCTATTACTGGAACAGTACTTTTTGCTTTAAAAAACAAAAAAAACAGACAAATAAACAAATGAAAACTAAGGCTTCAATGATTTTCTTTGGTGGATTCATCAGTAAAATCCCACAAATGCTGTTGGTAGAGCTTGACTTGTGTTGAACCTGGAATATTTCTTTAACCTCTTTCTTTTGGGAGTTTTCCACGCCTGGGAAATATGTGTCTTGGGCCATGGCTTCTGAGTTTTAGAGGTGAAATCTATAGAGCAAACACCCTAAAGTCAGACTCAGGTTACAGGAGTTTTTAAAATCCTAACCTAAATCTTCCCACAAATCTTAAACATGCACACACTACAATATTTGAAAATAGTGGCACATCACACACTACAAGATTTTATTAAGATTATCATGCCAGAGGGAGCACCTCACGTGACCTCACCGAGCAGATCATCATTGAAGTTTCAGTAACTAATGTTTACGTATGTTAACTAGCTTTCTACACTCACCCCCAGAGCTTCTCTTAGTCCTTGCGATTGTGGGAATGTATTTGACACATTATACTGACAGTTGTGTTATTGCCAAACTTCCACAAGCCGTTCCTCCATCTCCACTATCCAGTGGACTCATACAGCAGCTTGTTTTGCGGTCGCGCATTGGCTATTTTTAAAGTACTGATGTAATCCTGATTTTAAAATCCTAAATATCAGACACGTCTATCAGGGTGGCCCCAATTTGCATGTGCGAGCAGATCAGGAGGTGCAAGATTCGATCTGTAAATGCCTCACATTACCAGATAATTTGAGGTTGAGACCGAAGTTCTCAGGAAGATTTTTCCTCCGATTCTCAGGAGGGGAAAATCAGGGATAAATCGGCCTAAAACTCCTGTAGTGTGAGCCTGGCTTAAGAAAAGTCTTCTGAAGTCTTTTGCTGCTTTAAACAACATTTTTGTGAGGGTGACTTTTTTTCAGCAAGTGTAAATTGTGCCTGTATAGCAACCTAATATAAGACATTTCAACCTAATATAAGACATTTCATTTCAAGTGTTATGAATCTAAAAGCTCAGATCCCATTTCTAGACATTCCCAAAGTAAAAGGAAAAAATACACTGATTATAATCAACTAAAAAAATGGATGCTTGTACTAACAATCTATTTTACAGCTGTACTAACAAGGACATTTGGAAATTACTGGCAATGTTGTTCTTTTTTCCAATAAAGTTTGATCAAAAACTAAAGTTAACCAAATTAATATTTTATGTATTGTTATATAAAGTACTTTACATATGTTGGGTCTAACATTACCATCTGTGGTAACACCTAACCACTGATTTCATGTTATGTCTATCTGTTTTAAAGGAATAGTTCACCCAGAAGTAAAAATTTGCTAAAAATGTACTCCTCCTCAGGCCATTCAAGATGTAGAAAAGTCAGTTTCATTCAAAAGATATGGAGAAATTTAGCATTGCATCACTTGCTTACCAGTGGAGCCTCTGCAGTGAATGGGTGCTGTCAAAACAGTTGATTAATACAACACAATAATCAACAAGTAATCCACAGAAGAAAAATTAAGTATGGTTTATGGACTGTGTGTTTTGGCCAGAAGCAATGGTTTAAAGTTAAAATGTCTTCACAAGATGTTAATTGATGGACTGGAGTCGTTTATTTTTTGGCTTTTTTTTATTAAACCCAAGTACTATATAATTTCCAATATTTCCATGTTATATAATTTTTAATTGTTTTGTTGCAATTTGTGTGCAATGACTTGTTAGTTTTGCTGTGGTATTGAAATTATGGAATGGCAATTGACTACACATTATTTCTGTATTGTTTCTTCTTTGTTTTCCAGGCACAAAGCAGTGCAAAGGCACTCGAGAAATCAATGGAGCAGCTCCAGTCTGAACACAATAAGCTGGAGCTACAGCACGAACAGCACAAGAACAAGGTCTGATTGACTCAACAAAGAATTAATTGAAACTTAAAACTTCACTCGCATTTGCAAATGAAAATTACTGTCTGCAAATGTGCTAAGTTATGCAGGCACACATGTGAGTGGCATCCAATGAAAACCTGTAGGCGATATAATTACATCAGAATAAACGCTTCCTAATTATTAGGACATACAAAAACGAAGTATATATGCAAATTACATTTGTCTGCTTTCTATAGCTTTTCATTTTATATTTAAGTTGTTCTCAAGAGTATCAAGATAAAAATTATTTTGACAATGCATCTTGAGATACTTGTGTGTTGTTCCCTTCCACTGCACTGCATCTAGCTGTTTTTACTCATTTAAATTGATTAGTCAGGGTTTCTGTTGATTCAGTCTGTCATGTTGGAAAAGAACTTATGGGGTTTAGAGTTATTAAAAATTGGGTTGTCAGGCAGCTCAGTGACTGGCTAACTCCTTTTAGTTTTGCCTTAGAGTGTTGACCTCTGACCTTTGGTCTCACAGCAGGCAGAGTGGGCAGAGGAGAGAGAGAGACTACAGCAACAGGTCTCAACACAGAGACAGAGAGGCTTGGAGAAAACAGCCAGAGTGGAGGAGGAACTTCTTACTCTACA